ATATTTATAGGATCTTCCCCTTCTCACTGCTGGGGTTTCTGAGCTTACAGTCACTTTTTGCCTCACTAATAGCACGGTTTTGATTGTTCCTGGAAGGGTCTGAGAAACAGAATTGAACAGGAAGAGAGAACGCAGCCAAGCATGAAATGTTCTTGTGGAAAAATGGGTGGGAGAATGCACAAGCAAGAGACTTTCTTAATTTAGATGCTATCCCTTAATTCTCCCTGCCTGGAATAATGTTGATAGTGACTTTTGCACATGTTTACATGTTCTTCTGTTATTAAAGCAGCCCTTTTTTGTGTGTGTTTTGTTTCTGGAGTTCAGTTTTGATTGCATCATCAAGGCAGGATATGAAGTACTTTCCCAAGCCAGTGTTTGATGGTTGATTTATGACAGTTCTAGAGAGGAGTAGCTGGGATCAAGAAGTCTATATTTTTTTGCCAATATTTTTCTAGTTATTAGTTTAGTTACCTTAGCACCATAAAAAAAAAAAAGAGAACAAAATTGAAAAGGCCAGTGTAGAAATTTTGCAATATTCAAGAATGTCAACACCCAACAGAGGAAGGTGGCTACTCAGATTTTCTCTGTTCAAAAGCAGTTTTTTGTGCTATAGGTTATATAAGAAATGTATCAGAATAGGAAGAAAGCATTTAATGAACTCTTTTTCCTTTAACAGGGAAGGTCAGTAGAGAGATACCTTGAAGCATGACATGACTAACAATGGCCTTTTCCTCAAGAAAGTATCTCCATGTCCTTATTTCTGCGTGGCTAAAACTTGGGTATTTGTCTATTCATTCTTGTGTATTCATACCTCACTGTTTTACTAATGTTTTTATAGCTTTTTAATGTAAGTAGCTCTTTTTGTAAAAATCACCATTGTTATTACACTATACTATCTGTACAAATACTACTTGAGAAGTTTACATTTTTGAAAGCAAAAACATGATTATTTTTACCAAATTACCTATTTCTAACTTGGACGGTTGCTAGGCTGGAGTGATGGTGATAATTACTTGTATTTTCTGAAACAGAGCATCTGAAAAGTGAGCTGTTAAAACCTAAAAGCAAATGCAGATAGTATTATGAGAACTGTTCTCTGGAGGGTTTTCTTTAAATAGCAAGATCTGAAACCAGCAACACTGTTTTTTTTTCAAGTGCTTGTGAGTCCACAAACGAGGCCTGTTAGAAACTGCTTGATGTGATGTGTAGCACACCCTTGTTCCATAAGGCACCTTACTTACAAAAGCCCTGTATTGTTTAATGCTTCTCATAATCTGTATTCATAAACATACTGCCTTGGTAGAATCCCATGTTTAAAATGTAACCAAACTCGCTCAAATACACTTAAGTGTCCGAGGACAGTTGTGTGCACGATTTTTGAGGTTTGAAATATACAAAATTACACTTGGGCATTTGCCTTCACTTTTCTATAGAACACTTTTACAAGGACAAATTTTTTCTACTAGGTTTTTCATTTTACCTTCTATTGTTTGTATTAATCTTCTAGAAGTTTGGAAATAAAATTCCTTTCCTTACTGGCTTTGATTTCATTATTTAATTGTAGAAGAGAGCAAATTCATTCATGCACTTTGAAGGTGATATTTGGATTTTGCAGTGGGAAGGAAGGCTTCACGCTTTTTTTTTTTTTTTTAAGGATAAGGTTACTGTTGGAATTTTAGAGAATATTTTACTGTTAGAAAGATCTAGTGTATAGTTACATAAATATTGATGCTAAACTATTAGGGCCACGTAAAGATTTTGAAGTCTGCAGTGGGGCCTTCAGTGATCTGAATATATGATTTTCATTAATGCTAACTGAAATGGTACAGTGAATGTTCTCCAAACAGTTCATTTTTAACAAAAGATTTTCACACTTGTTGCCCTGCTGGGAGACACTGAAATGACAGTAATGATATTGCCTGTATAAACTGTACTTCTACAGAAGTGAATGTCCTTCCTCAAGTGCCATTCTTTGCTCCTGCTTCCTTTTCGTTGTAGGCTATGAGAGTATGGCTGCCAGCTTCTCCTGGATACTTGATACATGCACATGTTGTGGAAATCCAAAGGAAATACCGTTGTTCTTATTTACAGAGAGGTGCTTAGAAGCTCGGGCTGGGGTCAAAATGTTCATCACAGAGAGGAAGGGAGAGAGATAAGAGTTTACCTCAAATACCTTTGAACAGTTGGCTATCAGCCACTCCCTCCCAAATAAACCCTTAGTGTTTCTTTTTCTCACAGAATAAAACTTACCACTAGCAGCAACATTTGTTATTCTTCCTGATGCCTGGGTTCTGGAGTCACTGCTGAGCTGGCAGTGGGAGCAGCCAAACAGCCATGTGCAGGGGTGGGTGGCTGCTGCAAGCTGGTCAGTCTTGGCTCTTGCCTCTTGATCGCCCTGAGCTGCTCCATCTGGCACCTTTCAGCTGAAGCACCACTTGCTGCATGTGTGGTGTGAACGTACACTGTGGGTGTCTGTGAAATAGAGAAAATATCTTACGTTACAAGCAGCTGCCTCTCAGAGGCCTCAGGGGCCCCAGCCCCATGCTCCGCTGAATGGCACATAATGCTGACCTGAGTCTCCGTGGGATCCCAGCTGTGTCCATACCTAACAACAGCAGCAATGAAAACCCTGTCGGCAGGTGTGAGATGGGCTGGCAGCATGCTGGTTGTGCTGAAGTCCCATGAAAGGAAGATACAGGTTCCGTAGAGAAGTGTGCTTGCTGCACTACTTGGCTTTCTGGGTACACACTGTATGAAGTCCTTCATACCAATGTCCGGGTTCCACAGGATGCCTATGGTAAAACTAATTAAATGACTGCACAAATCTGTACACATATGTGCCTAACATGAGCCACAGGGTCACCTTTTTTCTGTGGTCCCTCACAGTGAGAAGTACAATGAGTTTACCAGCAGGGATTTTGTTTTTTTTTTCACTTCTAGAGCTGTAACCTGCCAGGTCACCTAGCATTTCACAAACGTGATTGAAGAAATGAGTCTACCTGCCACTGATGGAAGTCTGGTGATTAGGAAACCTCTCATTCTCACACAAAAAAATGCATAATAATAAAAATAATAATAATAAAAAATAACTGCATAAAGATCTCCCCAGATGTGAAATTCTCATATATGGCTGCTTTTTTCTCTTTTTGAGGGGAGGGCAAGGGAGGATTTGCATAGCACTGATTTTCCTCTACATTAAACAGAAAGGAATTAGGGGAAGAGTATCACATGTGATAAAGTTGCCATTAGGTGTGTAAACTGTCAAAGATTTAGAGTCACAAATAGAGTGAAAATTAAATGGTCATTGCAAGTTCTTCTCCTACTTTGCCAGTATCAGAATGTATACTGACATTTTCCTACCTATTAGCAACTGGGTACAGATGACACTTGAATTTCCTTCACTAACTGAATGTAGGCAACATATGGTTTGCCTTTGTTTTTGAAGGAATCAATAGATTATTTGAACTAGCCTTTAATGAAAGTGTACTTAAAGTTCTGGTGCCAGCCTCTGTATGAAAGGATATAAATGCATAGCTAGGGAGTGGCTCCTGTAATTTTCTCCACTGAGGTCATCTGTGAATAAATTTTTGCAGAGCTGCACTCTTAAAAGAAGAAATTCCCGAGCCTGGCAAGCTGGGAGACAGTTCTGAAAAACAGAGCCAAATCTGTGTTGTAAAGAGATGGAAAATGGTTAGGTCAAGCAACCACAAAAATGGGCCAGAAATAGCGAGCAAAATGCAACTTTTATTTTAGTAACTATTTTGTATTGGTCAAACATGGAAACACTGGCAAATTTACAATCCTACAAAAGATTTTATTAATATTACACATGAAAACTATTTTCTGAATTCCTGCTAACAGTTTGGATACAAATAACCTGTGTATATTACTGTGAACTATGATTACTCCTGGAACTGACACTGTACTTTTAGGAGTTCTCAGTTAACAATCAGAGATGCCAAAGCTGCTCCTTTAAGAACTGGCTGTATTTATCCAGATAATGAATATGTGCTTAATGAAGACTCAATATCAATAAACTATTTTGCTGCAGGCCTGAACCATACATTTGCTTTTATTCTGTTACTGCATTAAACTTAACAATCAAAAAAAGCGAGTTTGAAAACTGACTCATCAGAATGGAAAGTCACTGAGCAGGCACTGATCTTCTGAAGCTGGCAGAGTATGCATGCCAGCAGCAGCATGGAGTTACTCTCTACCACTGCCTTCACAAATATTTCTAGCTCTGTTGTAAAATCTTTTGCTGGAGAGTGGGGAGTTGGACACATCCTTTCTTCTGCAACTTGCAAATTAGATGATTTTTTTGTTGTTGTCTAATCTCCTGTGCTACCCTGCTGTAGCCTAGAATTTCTGGTGTTGTCTCCTAGATGATTCTCATCTTTCACACAGAAGCAGTGTAGCAGGCTGGAAAATGGGTACATCAACAAACAGCCTCCACTAGATTATGTGGAAAACTAGAGTCACAGCGTTATCTTCTGAATCAAATCTATGAGAATCATAAACTTCAGCTGTCTTTCATGTGCTGTCCACATAACAAGTGTGTTGTTTCTGAAGGTTAATTATGACTAAAGCCACACTCAAGCCATGAAGGAACTCATAACATCACAGGGCTCCCAGAGGGGCTGTCAGAAGGAATGAAGTGGAATTGAACCCAGAGGACAAACAGAAAGATATCTTGCTTTATTTCTAAGACTTTATCATCAGTTCTAAGATAAAGGCAAATCCAGTCTGCTATAAAATGTGGAAGCCTGCATGTTCAGGAAACATAGGTTGTTTGAAAACTCAACATGCTTTAGTGTGTTATTTCTTTTTTCTTTTTTCAAATAAAGAAACAACAAGGTAACTTTATACAACCTATATGAACAAAGATTTAAGTGTTTACATCAGTAATTCTCCTGCTTAGAGGAGCTGGTTTGTTTAGTGAGAACTAAAAAAAGAAATCCTTATTTAGTCAGAAATCCCAAACACTATTTTCCCTTTAAAAATGAACAACAACAACAAAAATGTAATAAATTTCCACTCAAATGGTTTAAGGATTGGGAAGAAGAAGAAAAAAAAAAGATGTGGCATGCAAGTCGCTATTTAATTCAAAAGAATTTAAGACGTGTTTGTCCATCAGCTCTTCCAGGTACTCTTTCATACATCAATCTCCTCTTTTTAATTCTTGGTACTTCTTCAAGTCCCAAATCTGGTAAAGAAGTGGCAATTAAGTATTGGTGTAACAAGCTAAAAATACAAAATCAGCTACATGTTTCTCAGAAGCAGTAACAGGCTTCAGCTTCAACTAGTTTGTATGAAAAACATTAAGTACTGTAGAATTGAGTATGTACAGATATTAACTGCTGTTTATTGATCAGTTTGATGCATTTTACCTCATAATAATAGTATAGGACCTTATATGCAAAATCAGCCTGCACTGTGCTTAACCAGAATATTTCAGTACAAGTTTTCAAACTTATTTCTATTTCATTAACACTACACTCTGTACAGTTCAGTAATTACAAAAGCTAATTCTTCTGAAACAGAAACAGAAGTTGTTCAGTTGTTCCTTAGTTAGTTTAAGAAAGTTTTTTTACATTCTTAAGTATTTTTTACAATAAAATATTTGAGAAGTTATTTTATCAGTACACTTTAATGGAAGAAAATTCTGTTTAGGCCTTGCAAAGTGTACTTTATAGAACTTTAGATAGAGCCTTAGATACTTAGAACAATAGAACTTTCACACTTATTAAACAATTTCATCTGCGTCAGTAAAAATAGTGGTTCAGTGTATTACCATTAATTGTTTGAGGTTTAATTAATATTTTTTTTCTGAAACTTACAGAAATCCTTGAAGGTTTCCAATGTGTCTTTCTAACTTGATTCTGCATACATTTCCTAAATCTGAGATTTCAGAAAGCTTTCACTGTATTTAAGTGTTTTTTGCATTTTTTGCACAACTTACCTGGTTTTTCCCTTGGCTAATGGATGATAAAGTAAAACATGCCTGTTGTTCCATAACATCAGGCAAATTCCCTTACCCTTTCCTGATTTGATTCAGTTGTAAGTATATCTTTGCCATATCAGGAAAAAGTATCAGAAAATTAATCAGTGGGAGATCCCGTTGTTTTCAGAATGCTGTAACAGAAGCAGTCCTGATCAACTGAAACTACTGTGTTAGAATTTTCTGCCATCAGTGTCAGTTACAGGTTACTGAAACACTGTTCATTATCCAGCAATACTGCAGGTCACAATTTGTATTCCAATGGAGATGCAAAAGGTCTGCTCATAAGTTCACTTGAGCATTTTAATTTTCATAGGCTGAAAATTGAAAGCAGTTCACCATATCCAATTACCTTTTCCTCTGTTTAGTGCCAGAATTGCCTTAAGCAGCCCATTAAGCACAATGATTTCAATTAGTTACACATGCTTTACATGAATGAGCCTGATCTAATTAGTGCAAGTATTTAATACTGCACTGACTTTGCTCTGTCACCGTGAGTTTTAACTACAGACAGTGAAAACACAGATTAAATTATCTATACTAGGGGTTAGGAGGTTTATTTAAGAAGATTAGCCTTATATCTTTTAAGAACTTGGCATCTTGCTTTTTAAGAAGTAGCAGATTAAAAAAAAAATGAAACAAAAACCTATAACCTACAACAAAACAATATTTAGTCTAATAGGGACTAACGATATTTTCTTACTTTCAAGGCTCCATGGATACATACCAGGCCTTGCAAAAAACGCCTTCAGCTGTGCTTAGGATGGATAAGAAACTGTGTTTAGCCATGGATAAGAAAACAAAACAAATAAGCAAACAAAAACACTGCAAAAAAAAAAAAAAAAAACAACAACACAAAACCAAGCTTGAATTTTCTATATGAAAACACACTAAGCTTTCTATTAGATGAAATACGCCTTGCAATAATTTCAACATTCATAGTTTAGCCCTGCGAAGAAGACGGAGCAGAGATCTCAGTGCAGCCTTTCAGTGTTTAAAGGTAGCCTACTGTAAGAAAGACTGAGAGAGACATTTTAAGAGGGCAAGTAGTGATCAGACTAGGAGTAATGATTTCAAAGACAGGAGATTTAGATTAGATAGAAGGAAGAAATTTTTTACTCAGAGGGCAGTGAGGCTGCCCAGAGAAGCTGTGGGTGCCCCATTCCTGAAGGCATTCTCGGCCAGCTGGGACAGGGCCTTGGGCAGTCCATCCGGTGGGTGGCTGCTCTTTCCAGGGAAGGGTTTGAGCTGGGTGGGCTTTAAAGTCCCTTCCAACCCGTTCCATCATTTATATTTTAATTTCCTATTGCTCCAAACTGAACATTAATACCTAGGAATCTTTCCTTACACAAGAAAAATAAGTGCAAGTGTTTTGCATAAGAGGAAACAATATTGTTAGATTGGATTAAATAATTACTTAAAGAAAATACGAAGTTGAGTTTTACAAATAATACTTTTTCCAGTGAAGTTACAAATAAAATTTCAGCGAATTCACCTTACTTTGTACATACCTGGTATTTTTTTTCCTTTTGCCCATAAGAATGGTGGACTTTGCTTTCTGTTTCCTGAAAGTTCTCGATCTTGGTTTTGGAAACACAGAATTTGAATTTCATCTGGATCAACAAGGGAATCAGAATGAATTAAGCTAGGTGCAAATGAATTGTATGTGCAAGTGGATGAAAAGTCATTCCGTATCTGAATTTCTGGGCTCTTAAATGCTGTGCCTCTAAATTCTTCCAGAAAAGCTGTAGAGCTGTCAGGAGGTACACAGTCACTGAAAGTTGTAAAGAAATCTTCTTCAGAATTTTTGGAGGAATGATCAGAGATACAGTGTGTCCTGAACGCCTGACCTTTAATGTAAAAAGAATTCATAGCATTTAGACGATCAAAATCTTCACTGCCCTTTGGTACAACAAAGAAATTCTGTTTTCTCTCTGGAGCTACTTCTGAAAAACATGGTCTCTCATGCATATAGCTTGAAAGGTCAGAGTTGATAAAACTTTGATTATGTTTCAATGGAAGAAACGAGGCTTCAGAATTCACATGAGATGGCCCTGGTGGAAGAAAATTTGAATCATTCTCTTTGAAAAACGAAAAATTAGCAAGTCTCTCTACATTTTTCAGTAACAAAAGGAATCCACTGAGCATTAAAATACAGTCTGCCTATCATAACAATTCATCTTTCAATGGTTGGAAAATAAATGTTCTAATACACTCAGACTTCCACCTGGTTTCAGAGACGATACACTTTGGCAGTAATTCAAACTACCTGTGCTGGTTTGTGCCTTAGCTAGCAACTCTAAAGACTGAGAATTTTGCTTACAATCTGGATAGAGTCTTCTAAAGGTATTCCAGTTTTCTGGAGGTGATGAACGTTTCACTGTTGTTTTCAGTGGCGCAGCAGCATTTGTGCTGTACGAAGAGGTAATGTCACTAAAATGCTGAAACCAAATAAAAGGACTTAAGCAGTGTTTATAGTGCAAGTCTACGCTCTCAGACATGAAAATCAAATCACTAGTAAGAATTCTAAAGCTTATATATAAATTTTTGGTTACTGGAAATAAAAACAGAAGACTTGGTAATATAAAGCCACTTATGGTGGACGATGTGCTGCCAGTCTTATATCTATAAACAGACTAAGTAATAAACATCACGTTACTCAAACCATGAGAAACCAGTATCATAGTATATTCTCTATCATGAGATAGGACTGAAAAAAAGTGGCATATGCAATGTATTGGTGCATTTCACACGTCATGGAAGGATAAACTAACAAAATACCTTTCACTCAGTAAACACTACCATACAAACACATGGTTGCTACAGTAACATGTATAAGTTAATAGTGCCTAAATATCTTTTCCCTGGCTCTTTCACCTTAACTGAATGATTCAGGAAAGCAGGATGTCCTCCCCTTTTAGAACAGAATCATAGAAACATAGAATAATAGAATTGCTCAGGTTGGAAAAGACCTTAAAGATCATCGAGTCCAACCACAACCTAACCATACTGCCCTAACTCTAACAACCCTCCACTACGTCATGTCCCTGAGCACCACATCCAAACAGTTTTTAAACACATCCAGGGATGGTGACTCAACCACCTCCCTTGGGAGCCTCTTCCACTGCTTTAACAACCCTTTCTGTAAAGAAGTGTTTCCTGATATCCAACCTAAACTTACCCTGGCAAACCCTGAGGCCATTTCCCCTCATCCTGTCACCTGTCGCCAGTGAGAAGAGACCAACCCCGCTCTCACTGCAATCACCTTTCAGGTATTTGAAGAGAGCAATAAGGTCTCCCCTCAGCCTCCTCTTCCCCAGACTGAACAGACCCAGTTCCTTCAGCTGCTCCTTGTAGGGCATATTCTCCAAGCCAAGCTGACTATAATGAGTCAGTAATTTTCTTGGACTTGGCCCAACTGAAAACAGTAGCAACATCAATTGCAGCTGCAGACAGAATTTCAAACACTTTAGTTGACAGAATTATTCCTCTTAAACTCAAGGGCTCTTTCAAATGATTCGTGCAGTGAGTTTACAAGTGGTGTACTACAGTGCAAGCAAATGGATGGCTGGAGGAAAGGGGAAGAAGAAAGGAAAACAATTGGAAAACAATTCTTGTTTTACAGAGGTGTATGAACACATATGCTCATAGGACACTTGATATGATAGAGCTTAGACTTTTTTTTATTTAATTTTTCAGAGTACTTTACCAGTTAAGAAATTTTTCCAGTACTAATAACCTTAACAAAAACGTAGTGATGGCTCAACAAAATCTGCTGAGGACTAGCGAGGACAGTAATTTAAATATGAACAATACACTGAAGCTCTGAAAGTAATAAAACATTAATTCATTTTTAGATGACACTAGAAAATAGCCATGTAGCATCAGACTAAAAAAAAAACAAACAGAGGAAGAATGAGAACTGTGCAAGCAGTCCGAGATAAAACATAAATTACTTTTGACTGACCTTTAGAACTTTTTTTGGAACCTCTGGTAGTAATTCCTGAAGTTGATCATAGCTTGCCAGAAAGAGCCTGTTCAAAGAAGATTCCTTCTTTAGCATCAGCTGAGCAACCAGAGGGTTGATACAAGGAAAAGCAAGCAAGCATTTCTCCATCTGGAAATGGAAATAATTTTGTCAGACATTTATTTTTCTTTCTTCAGTGACATTCCTATCAATAGGTCACATCACATAATTAGAGCTTTGAATCTGTGCAGTTTTGGATAGGTGTTTTACGCGTCACGTGAATTTTATTTTGTTTTTACTATTTTTTTAATAGTGTAAAATTCTTGTTAAAGAGTAAATTTTTGAAAACTAATTTGATAAAAAGGAAGTACATTAAAAAGATATTTCTGTATTATTTTTATATAAACCAGTGAGTCATTCAAACTTGATTTCTAAACACACTACCAAATTTACTTTATTTTTATTCTGTGGTTTGATAAGAATTATTTACATCAAGATGAACCAGCAAAACTATTATTTTACAGAAGTAACATTTGTAAACAGCAATGAGACAAGTGCTAGAAGCAGGAATTACTAGGTGGAACTGAATGTCACACAACGGGCAGTAACTTCAAAACTGTGGTATCTAAAGAATGTCAGCTTCTAGTTCTTGACTTTCATAAAGCTCTGCATTCAACACATCAGGACCTAATGCCTTTAACAGAGATAAAATACAACCAATTACTTTTCTCAGTCTTTTCTTTTTTTTAAAAAACAGTATCCTTAATCTCTAATTTGGAAGAGTTATAATCCAGTATTTCACATTTAAAAGACCATGCCAAGGACTTAGAATGCTTTTGAATTTTGCAAATTCTAAAAAGTATCCTGACTTTTTAATAGTTCAGGCTTTTCATGTGAGGTGACTAAATCTCCATTAGGATCAATTTGGAAATCTCAATACACTAGACAACATCAATATTTGAACATAATTGGTGGATGTGGACCAGTAATATTTATTTCCAAATACTGCATGAGGAATTAAGCAAATATTATCAGCTTGTGGTAAAACAACACTGTAAGCAACTTCACTGACTTCAGTAATAGATGATTATCAGTGAATCTGGCTTACTGCCCAAGTAAGCCACCATATCTTTATCTTTAACAGTGTGGATAGTTCTTCAAAAGTAGTGCTGAAAGGATGTCAGTCACACATAACAGCCTAGAGGTGTGAAGGATAAATTTCTCTGAAGTTTCACTGTGAAAGCACAGGGAAAAGTCTGCTAACAAAGATGACTGATGTCAGAAGCTTTACATAGGCGTGTGTGTTTATGTATCTATAACATATATACATACATACAGATATGAAATGTATAAATTAATTAAATAACAACATATTAAAAAATCACATAGAACTTATTCTGAGAAACAAGAAGAAAACAGTGTAAGGTAGCATAAATTTAAATAACCTCAGATGGCAAGACAGAAAGCCAAGATTTGTCCAGCCATTCATGGGGACTGAAACTAGATGTCATCAAAATGTTGTCAGCTATTTGACGAATTAACAGTGCTGCCTCTTCAATCCCTGGTGTAAGAACTACCTATAATAACAATAATTTTGGTTAAAGCTTATGCTAAGGAGTAAAACTCCAAATGTCTTCATTATCATTAGTAGTTAGCAGATGGAAAAAACTGAGCACAGTAGCTAGCAAGGTAGACTAACTAATCCAGACCTATGCTCATTGTGAACTTCAACAACTGACCACAAATCTAGCTCCAAATTACACTCCTTATTTATACAATAAATTTATACAAATCCAATGTAGGCAAAATTTAGTTTCTTCTATAATCTCTTATATGTTTTAGATTTATTGCTATGAATTCAAAACAGGCAATTCTGAAATGCCCAGAATAGTTTAAGATAGAGATGTGCAACCCTTTGAAAAGGTAGGCAATTTCCAAACAAGCTGTCAACTAAAGTGCTGTATAAACGGGTTGAAAAAATCTTGAACTTAACCAAAAATTTTGAAACAAGCATTAATATGTAAAAAAGTTTTAAAAACTGCCTAAAAAGGCTACTTCGTGCAAAAGGAGGACCAACACAATTTTTGCCCCATTTTTAAAATGTGAATTAAAATGATACTGCATTTTTTATTTATAAAGAATAAAAGCATATTTGTAGTCACATAATAAAAATGTGACAAGCTATCTGACATTACAGAGAAAAGATACACTTTCTTTTCCTCTACATTAAGAACAATATTAACTCAAAACTTCAAATTAAGGCATTGATAGGATAACAAGAGATTAATACCTGCTTTAGTATTCATAAAATTAAAGGTACAACATCATTCCAGATGTAACAGACTGTCTAGCCTCTGCACAAATCTGATTCAGCTTGTACTACAGTCCATCAGAGGTTTTACTGACTTCAGAAGTCCTGAACTGAAGTCCTTTATCATCTTATTTTCTGACTTTTGAATTGTTTTCTGTTTCTGTTGTTGGATGTGCACATTAATAGAATACTTTGGGAATATCACATAGAGAAGATTAAAATGGAAGAGCTGTTACAAAAAAAAAAAAAATTACCTTCACTTCAAAGTCTTCTGACTTCTGTGTAAATTCTATCAAATTGGCATAAATTAAGACAAGGCTGAGAAGAGTATCTCCGCTGAGACTGTACCTGTAAGAACAGTTTAATCAGACCATTAATATTTTATATGCACATAACAAATGTGACTTGCCTGTTCTCTGTGTTAATAAATTTCTGTTCCATTTCCTGGAATTTGGAACATGAGTATATTTCCTTGAACATTATCACCTGTGAAAAGATAACTAGGGTGTGTGAAATGACTGACTACTGAAGGACACATTGTAAAGAAGAAAATGGAACCAGCTCGCAGCAAAAAAGCCTGGCCTGAAGCAAAAAGGCTGAATCAGAGTCAGTCACTGGAGAAAAATTATACACAAAGGAAAAGTGAAGCATGAAAGATTAACCACTTCCTTACAGAAAAAACCTTGCAATAGGTAATGAAGGACTGCTTGAGAGGTATATCAATAAAAGTAGTACTTCCACAGCAAAAAACCCTACTGGTATACTGGAAGAATATCTCCCTCTTGGAAATGATGTACAGTAACGCTAACATAGAAATAATTCATAACCATGTAATTATAGTGATTAATTTACTTCAAACACTTCAAAAGCATAGTCGCTGTTGATAATACCTTTAATACCATGAATGTTCTGGACTTGCTGATTTGAAATATTTAATAAAAACTTGCCCTATATTAGAGTTACCTGCCTCAAAGACTCCTATTTTATTTCAGTGATTTCTTTAATTTTTTGTCTTGTGGAAGACTAGAAACAATATAAACATGGAAATGAACCTTGCCAGGTTTTGGGGGGCCTCCACTGAGTTTTTCAGTGGAGCTTATGACAATAATGTAACAAGGTGAAAAGATTAGAGCATGTAAGAAATACAAGCCTAGAATATTCACATCCTTTGAAGAGAAAAGTGTCCCTACAGAGAAATTCAAATAACAGAGTTTTAGCTTGTTCTGGTGTGCAGCTTCCTGTAGCAATATCTTTGTTTTAAAAATAATGATACAGCAAAAGATTTTATTTACTTACTCCAAACTCAGTCTTTCTCTGGAGTAGAAAACAACCCAACAGCATGTATATTGGAGTGATAATGCTATCAGCTTCGATATTACATTGTCGCAGGACTTCTCATGGTTTAACTCATCCATATTCTACCATGAAATTAATATAAAAATTAAAAACTAGATAAACATATTACCATGGCTGTCACAACCCTTTCATATGCATTGCTGTATTATACATGAGTTATATCAAACATGATCATGAGTTAGATCAAACATGTTTATAGGTAAATAATATAAATAACAAAGACGTATCTGAGAATCATAAAGATTCTAATTCATTTCTTCATACCTTTTTATTCATCCTGTGAAACAGAAACGTTACTTTTTAAGATGTTCTAAGATTTTGGGAAGTTTTAACAATGCAAAATACGGTTGCAAACCCCCACAGTAGTTAACATAGCATATATAAATTACATTATACATACAATGAATTTATAAAGCACAGCACTGCTAATTGCATAAGCACTTGCAGTAAATAGCATGTAGGAATATCCATCTGCATTGAGCCTGCAGTCCTATTTGATTATTTTATTCCTTATCAGTAACTGCTCTTCTACACATTGAGACATTTGTCTTGCTATGTAACAGAGTTTACATACCATTCCATCATTTAAAGTATTCCTCATTTTTATAAAAAACAGAATGAATTATTTTCTAAATTAATTCTAAACTAATGAATTTATTTTCTAAACTATTAACTATCTGAAATGGGAAGAATTAACATGCAGAGTGGTACGAGAATATAGTCACACTTAACTGGTTATTACAACATTCATGTATACAATCCTATCCTCAGCTACATATTTTAACTATATTTATACAGTCAATTTGAAGTGAAATGTAATACTTCTGTGAAAAATGTCAGCAGTGAGATGAGAATGTTTTTAGCTAGTCAAGCTGGCATAGGCTTAATTTTGGAGTTACAGAATTTGGAAATAATTTGTGTCATGAGAAAATGAGTGATTTTGATATTATTAAGAACAAAAGATACATTAGAAGTGTGCAGACATGGTCAAGAAGTGATACATCCCACTGTAGAATCTGAATATAATTTCGTTTTGTACCTGCAAGAAGATAGCAGTACGTTCATCTACTGTCAACACAACATATCGGTCTGTATCTCCAAGTAGCCTCAAGGAGTAACTGCAGCTTCTTTCAACAAAAGTAATGCTGTAGCTGAATATTATTAATTTTATCAGTTAATATTGTAATTCTGTTATTGAAGCTCAGTTAAATGAAACATTGAGCTTTCTTAAAGGAAATGAATAGCATTCATCTCTTTATACAATTTATATGGTAACGTGTTGTTTTAATATTGGGATCTTTCTCAAATGATCAGGTTAACTTCAAGGCACATCCACAGAACAAACATAATTGTAGAAGTAAGGTATTGAAATACTACTAGGCTAAAACCTGCTGGACTCCTGAGGCAAGGGGCACAAGTTGGAATACATGATCTCTGAGGTCTTTTCCAACATAGGTGATTCTAATGCAATTAGCCTCGTGGCATTGACCTTGACATTTGACAGTTGGTGGCACTGCATGTGGCAGGGGGGCTTGGAGATTCATGATCCTTGAGGTTCCTTCCAACCCAGTGTGGCCATTCTGTGATTCTGTGTGATTCTGTGACGTACACTCTGAGATTATAAACAACGATATATTAAAGAGCTAAGACAAATAAGTAAAGCAAATATTTACACTGATGTCTATGGGACAAGAAAATCTCAACTTCTTTCAGAGTAATTGCATGTATATTGCATTTATTTCCTTCCTTTCACAACTGTGCAGCACAGGGAAAGCAAACTGGGTGAAAAATTACTCACCGCTCTTTGCATAATGCTAAATTTTTTCTGACTGAATTAAAACTGACAGTAGCACAATGTTGTTTTACAAGCAATGCTAGCAAAAACTCCCTGAATGAGCACTGCATGTTTAGAAATTTAGAGGAGTCTTGGCTGTCTGAGGTGGGAAGTAGAGGAGAAATGATAGTCGCATTAATTGGTCTAAATCCCAGAAAACACAAGGGACCACAATCTGCTAGGAAAATGTGTGGACAAGCACATTATCCATGAGCTAAAAGGGGAACTGTAAGCATCTCTGAAACTACTTATTTATGTAGGTGAATGTGAAGAGGATTTGCTGGGAAACTACTGAAAATCATCTCCGAACATTTAGCTAGTGGCTAAGCTGAATAGTGAACTTGAACAGGTCCATCTTCAAAAGTGTATTTCAAACTGAATGTTCAAATTTTGAAGTCAAAGCATTATTTTCATTATTTTTTCCTGTTCAACTGCAATTAGACAGATATCAAAAACTGGAAAGTCTCTTCAACAGCATGGTGAAATTAATGACATGCATCCCTGACACTAGGTTTAATAGATGACTGCTATTTCTCTTCTTCCTTTCTTCCTTTCTTTCTTTCTAGTTTTCTGGGTAGAAGACTGTTATAGTGTGTATTTATTACTAAGAAAATTAAATGCAAGAAAATTATGCCAAAGAAAACAATACACATGAACAATGTTTTACAAATACACAAATGTTTGTACAAGCTGAAGAGGTATTCAAAATCAAGAAAATATTAAATCTCAAGTAAACAATGAAAGTATTTACTTGTTTATTTTTAACTTAGCTTCTTCCAAAAGCTGTGATACATCAGAAAACGAAACTTCTACTTTATCTGCAGTATTTAGGTACTTAAAAATCAAAAAATACAAAGCAATTACTTCGAAGAATTAATACAAACCCTTTTCAAAGCATAAAAAAGTGGAAAAGCAAAAAACGTTTTTTGTTGATGACACTGTAATTTTCAGGGAAAAGAGACAATGAAAACAGTTGTCTTCATAAAAAGTCCCAGCTTATATTAAAAATTAAAATATCAACATATCCTTTGGTTGACATATGCATGAATCTATAGAATAAATGCACTGACTTCAGTGGAAAAGCTATCTTATTGTCTCTTGCAGTGCTAATAATCTCAATTTGGTAATTACCTGACATCAGGAAGATTATACACCTCTATCAGTGATCTAGACAGTGGGATTGAGAGCACGTTTGCTGATGACACTGAGCTGAGTAGTGCAGTTGACACAATAGAAGAGAGGACTACAATCCAAAGGGACTTGGAGAAGCTTGAGGAGTGGGCCAGTGTGAAGATAGGCCCACAAGATGTGAACATCTCAAACATGATTCAAAAAGGCCAAGTGCAAAGAGTGGCATTTGAACTGGGGCAATGGCACATACGAGTTCAGACTGGGAAAACTCATTGAGAACAGCCCTGCTGAGGTATCTGGTAGCCAAAGAGCTGTTTGTGAGCCAGCAGTGTGTGCTTGCAGACCAGAGGGCCAACTAGATCCTGAGCTGCATTAAAAGAGGGCTGGCCAGCAGGGCAAGGGAAGTGATTGTCCCCTTCTGCTTTACCCTCACAAGGCTCTTCCTGGAGTACTGCATACCACCTGAGGTGCCCAACAGAAAAAAGACATGGAGTTATTGGAGTGGGTCCAGAGGATACCACGAGGATCATCAGAGGGCTGAAGCACTGCTCCTATGAAGACAAGCTGAGGGAGCTGGGCTTGTTCAGACAGAAGATAACACCCTGAGGAAGACCTCACTGCAGCCCTCAAGTACTAAAAAGGAGTTTATAAACAGCAAGGAGAGCTACTTTTTGTTGGTCTGATAGTGATAAGACAAGGGGAAATGGTTTCAAAGTAAAAGAGGACAGGTTTAGATTAGATGCTAGGAAGAAATTCTTCTCTCAGAATGGTAGGGCACAGACAGGCTGCCCAGAGAAGCTGTGGATGTCCCATCTGTGGACGCATCCAAGGACAGATTGAATGGGCCCTGGGCAGCCTGATCCAGAGCCTGATTTAGTGGATGGCAACCCTGCCCATACCAGAGGGACTGATCTGTAAGGTCCCTTCCAACCCAAAAAAGGGACCTATATCCTAGAAAACTGGTTCTATACCCTGGAAAGCTGAAAGTAATTAGTCAGTAAGATTTAACAGGTCATTTTCACTCACTGAGATTCCAAAAGCTGAAGAAAATCTGGCATATTAAGAAGACCTTCAGTGGTGAGAAACACATAAGGAATCTGTATCTCCAGAAGAGAAGAACCACAGTGATTTCCTGAAACATTTTGCATACGTAAGATAATAGTTTAGTGAGCAAAAATCTCAATTTATATTTCAATATTTAAATTGATGTATGTTGAAAACATGCAGCTTTTATTCATCCCCATTATAATGCTTCTGTTATATGCTATTTTTTTTTCCACCAAAATTAAACTCTTCTGAATCCCTTTCAAACCAAGCTCGAGCTTAGATTTATTCTTTTATGTGCACAGCAATATTCTGTCAGCATGAGGAAGGGTAGATACAACTTCTATTAACTGTCAACAACCTGTAAACTTGGCAGAAGTGTTTTATAAGAGATTACCAACACTTACTACCACATTTTGTCCAAACATAATATCATGTACCCAAGAAAAACATCTTCCTATCTTTCTGGTTAACATAACCAGCAGTATTTGCCTAGTTTTATCCTGCATAATTTATGATTCATCCTCATCCCACACACAAATGTAACATTTCATAGAATAGAAAATACTTTTCTCTTATGTGTCAGTCCAATTCTTGGCACTTACCCATTTGTACTGTTTCAGGGAGGATGGTTTTAAAAGTCATGTATGCAATATTTAGATTTTCACACAGTTTTTTCCAGCAAGAGTTTTCAGAATAATCATATTCTATCACTAATGAGAAGAGTCTCCAGGGGAAGTCAGCTCCAATGTTCTGATTTTGTATAATAACACAGGCATATCTACTGAGGATATAAAATGAAAATTAAAAATATGTTCAGGTACAACTACACTCAGAACAAAATAAACAAACACACTTCTAAAAGAAGTGTGAAGAATTACAGTTGTTTGAGGTCTGTTCAGAAAAAGAACTTACCTTTCCTGAATTTAAAACCTGTAATTGCTTTAAAAAGTCATTTTAAAATTTGAAGTTGTACTCCCCCATACTCCAATTATCTACTTAATTCCTATCTCCCTGCATACTCATACTTTGCCATTATTTCAGCCTTACACCTTTTATTTTACACACTGGAGAGTTTTTCTAAAATGCTCATGTGCAATTGCAAGGGCAGCTCCTCTGAGCCCTGTAACTAAGCACTTTGCTGGAATTTGGACAAAATTCTCTGTTCTCAGAATGAAGCTGTAAATCCATATTCTGAAAATGTATTCAGAACAAGATACTACAATGAAAATGAACAAAGTTTTACTGAAGAAAACCATGAGAAAGGACTTCTGGCTCTGTTTTTTGGAATCTAGATTTTAACTTACTTGGTGACGATATCTCTATATCCCAGAATGTTTCCTTTTTTCTCAGAATTCAAATCAATGGCTTTTAAACCTGCATAAAAATTATTGTGATCTTAATCAAATAAATTGTCTTCTGCTAGTACAAAGCTAGTACAGAATGAAGCATTTCTTGCCATTAAGTTTTAAACCCCTGTATGCTTTTTGTGTGCTCTAGGTTTTGTAAACATGACTGGAAGATGCAGTTAAGAAAACTGTTATTTGTGTAACACAAAGGCCTCTTTTGTAAACTTTAAGTTAGTTGGATTGGTTTGTGTTTGAAATCAAGTCTTAAGAAGTGGAAACAAATCAAACACTTAAAAGTAAACATTATTATAATTAGTAAAAACATTGTGAATGTCTCCCTCCTTTAAAATATTCTGAAAGATAAGCTGTCATTTTTTTAAGGAGCAAAGGAAATTCAACTTTATTCTAAGAAGCAGAAGAATGGCACAATACTTGACAATGCTAACATTTAAGCAGAACTCAAATACGTTTTAAGAAACAATATGAAAAGAATCAATAGCTTGCCCCATACATAAGTACAGGCTCAAATATCAATCTTCCGAAACATTTTTTTCTATCAAATGAATCTCCTATGAAGAAAAAGCTTGTATAATGATTACACAAAAGTAAAATGATGACAGTGTGGCTTTATCAGTGGGACTGGGAGACAGGAAATCCATGTTTTTTTCTTGATTGTAATAGTATGTTATTGACGATGCTCATGTATTTAGCCAATTAACATACAAGGTCAGTAACAAGTAACAAGTGGTGAACAGAAATCATGACCTACACCAAAATACTCATTTAGAGCCTTATGTTAGAAAGTTTACTTAAGGCTTCTAAATTATCCTTAATTGTGGCATAGAAGGAAGAATACCCCTGACACACAGCCAACTATAGACAGATAATCTGAGCAACTGATACAATTATATTAGGCAATGTGGGACACATATACTTTGTGTTCTGTTAATTACAATTTTGACCTGACACATGAACTCTCATTCTTTTGTAACGAGACGTTATGTCAGAAGTCTCAAAGAGGTGAAAATAAACATCAGAAATGAGGGGGAAATGAAGGTTTATAATAGAATTTGGAAACAGAAAAAAAGTGCGAAAAGTACATTAAAACGTCCTAATGAAGAGAAGGACGAGAAACTTCTGAAAAAGCACTTAAATAGGAAAATAACTAAGCACAGAATGCGCAAACTTTTTCTTTCAAAAATAGATTAAAATAATTATTTACCTTCTAGTCTAGATACAGTGTGAATGAGAACTGCCTTTTCTCTCTCAGAGTCCATTCTTAGTATGATTAGTATCTGGAAGAAGACAAGTTAAAGAAGTAAAAACAAATCTTTTAGTCTAATTCTAAACATCAGATAGAAGGTGATGATGTACTGGAGGGAGGCATTACATTCTGCCATACCAATTAGAAAGATTTTCCAGACTGAAAATGGAGTACTTTGAAGTATTACTTCTAAAGCCAGATTACATTTGATAGCCGCTAAGCTTTGCTGAAGATGGAAGCACTGAAAAGATTAGAATCCAGCCAATAACCATACTCTGGTCACTACTGGAAAATATGTTTACCTTATCCAAAATTTTGAAACTGAATTTGTATTAAATAATCAAAACATTTAAATAAGAATGTGTAACCAGCAATATTTGCCTAGTTTTATCCTGCATAATTTATGATTCATTCCCAAGACTTACATCAGACCTTCAGCTTCAAACAGGATGATATCTGAACTGGTATGAAGTTTTGTATGCACTTTTCTTGGGATAAACAAGATAAGACTTTAAAGAAGGCTCATCACTAATCTAACTCTAAGACTTAAGGTGCACAAGATAATTATATACGTAAATGTCAAAAATTCAGTTAGACCTTTTTAGAAAAAAACTTCTGGACATCTATCCACCTGACAACCTTAAAAAAGACAAATTTCCACATGCTGCTGAAGAGAACAGCCACCTGACAACCCAGTGGTTCCTTTCAAGACAGATTTGGACATCTGTAACTTAAAATGCAGATCTGCTTTTTAACTACATCATTGAATAACATCCTCAGGACATCCTGTTGTGAGCTAGATCATATATTTTTAGTGATATCCTTACATAATCATGAGTAGAAATGAAATAAAGTGAAACAGAAAGATCAGAAATTCTTTTCAGATTTGTTTCTTTTGTTTTGTCAGTGAAGCATGAATGATAATTGCGAATAAAATCATGTGTACTCTGAAATTCCGCACAAATTTAAGTCAAAGTGGCAAGTCAAAACTCAGTTATACTTCAAAGCTTTAAAAATTGCATCTAGTGGAGTTCACAAGGAAGGCAAAATTGTCAATGAGCTGACATTAATATGACAAAGTTGTCATATGTCTCCTAGTACAGCATGATCTTAGTGACAGAAAGCAAAATGCATTATGATTAAGAACAAGAAAATGATGATGAAATCAACATACAGGTGCTAATGAAAGATAAGCAACAAAACAATTATTAATATTTTGTTTTAGGTGCTTCATATCCAATTTAAATTCCAATAAAACAGCTTGTTGGACTTAGCACACCTATGGTGGGGGCAATCCCAAGAACAAGTCAAGTGCAGGTTGGGCAATAAGTGCCCTGAGAGCAGCTGGAAGGAGCTATTTATTAGGGATTGGGAACAGGACAAGGGGGAATGGTTTTAAAAGAGGTGAATTTTGGTAAGATATTTGAAATAAATTCTTCATTGTGAGGACAGTGAAGTGGAGGCCCTGTTACAGATTGGCCAGAGAAGCTGTGGCTGCCCCATCCCTGGAGACATTAAGGCTAGGATGGGTGGGGCTCTGGGCAATCTGATCTGCTGGGTGGCATTCTTGTCCACAGCACTGGGCTTGGAACTAAATGGGCTTTAATATTAATTCCAACCCGTTCCACGATTCCGTGATTCTATACTTATCTTTTCATGAAAGTTAAATCATCACATGGTCTCTTAACAGAGTCAAAAGAAGAAGTGAAGCATGAGAAAGAACTAAAATAAATGAAAATAAGCTTAATGATTTGGGGATTTTTTCAGCTGTGTCTTCAGTAGCATAAATTCTACTGCAAAATGTCAGGATATTTAAGTATATGTATAGTATATATATATATATATATATATACACATATTTTCATTTCTGTTTTATTATGTGAGAAGTGTTCTGTAAGTAAATAATAAATAATACACAAATGAAAACGGTATTATTCCCTGCATGGAGTCACTCAGAATATTCACATTTCCAGAAAAAAAAACACCAAAAACTTAAAACTAATTTATTCCACAGTTCTATTATTATCAGTGCCATAGCCATGCCTCACAGGCATTTACTCATATAAACGTAACATGGGGAGTTTGGGCAGATACATTCGTCAAGCAGAGACAATGGATAACTACAGCCATACAGTCCACAGTGTTTGTGCCCTGAGCACCACTGCACAAATACACAGCTCTTACTTGTGCTATGAGTTTCTGCACCAGAAGAAAAGAAGATTGAAGCTGCCAAATAAAAGGTTATGATGAAATTTACAGTAATTGATATGATACAATATACTTATCAGAGGAACAACTACCATCTGCAAAAAAACAAAGCTCTTACAATTTTAAAACACGTTTTACTCTTGCAGAAGGGGAGATCCAAAGAAACACAAATCTCCATTACTCCTGATAGATGTCTTAAACTTTATGTTATCCTTAATTTTATGTTATGCCTCTCTCCATTATACTTGAAAAGTCATGGCTGTCAGGCAAAGTCCCTGGTGACTGGAAAAAGGGAAACATCCCAGCCATTTTTAAGAAATGGAAAAAGCAACATCTGAGACAGATAGCACAGCTTCACGAAGGATAGATCGTGCCCAACAAATCTGGTGGCCTTCTATGATGCAGTGGAGGATTTGTCTACCATCAGCAGACAAACTGAAAGCAATTGCTGCCATTTACCTGGATTTCTGCAAACCCTTTGATATGGTCCCCCACCCTTATCTCTAAATTGAACATATTGATATGGCCTTGAATTCTGGATTATTCAGTGGATAAAGAATTGATTGGATGGTTGCAGCCAGAGGGATATGGTAACTGGCTCTATGTCCAGCTGGAATCTGTCCAAAACTGAAGTCCCCCAGTGATGCATCTCGGGACTGCTGCTCACCATTTTTATCAATGACAAGACAGCAGGATTGAGTGTATCTTCAGCAAGTTCGATGACGACACCAAGCTGAGTGGAGCAGTCGACAGACTAGAAGGAAGACATGCCATTCAAAGTGATCTGGAGAAGCTTGAAAAGCGGACCAACGTGAACCTAAAGAGATTCAACAAGGACAAGTGCAAGGTGTTGTGCTTGTGTCAGGGCAACTCCTGTGGAGCCCTGCAGAGAAGGACTTCTGGTGGATGAAAAGCTATATATGAACCAGCAGTGCATGCTACAAGCCCAGAAGGCCAAATTTAATTTGGTTGCACCAAAAGGGCCAGTAGGGTGAAGGAGGTGATTGACCCCTTCTGTTTTGCTCTCATTCCCCCACCCTGAATACCAAGTCCAAGTCTGAGGCCCCCAGCACAAGGACTTGGAGATGTTGGGGTGAATCCAGATGAGGGCTACAAAGGTGGTCAGGGGGCTGGAGCACCTCTCCTGCAAAGAAAGATTTAAGAAGCTGGACTTGTTCATCTCGGAGAAGAGAAGACTGGAGAGTCCTCATTACAACCTTTCAGCACTTGAGGATAGTATGAAAGTAAGAGAGAAGCTGACTTCTTACAGGGGTGGAAAGTGATGAACAAAGGGAGATGGCGTCAACCTAAATGAAAGAACATTTAGACTGAATATTAGGAAGTAATTCCTTAATCCAAGGGGGTTGAGGCACTGCAACATGTTCCCCAGAAAGCTATAGATTCCCCATACCTAGAGGGATTCAAGGCCAGATTGGTTGGGGCCCTGGGCAGCCTGACCTTGTGGATGGCAACTCTGTCTATGTCAAGGATTTGGAACTGGATGATCTTTATGGTGCATTCCAATCTAAGCCATTCTGTGATTCTGCGATTTTCCTTATTTAACAGATACCATTTCTCATTTGAAGATGGTTTTACAATTATTACTATATTTTAGATGCGTTTCACTTGCTTAGAGAGATAGTTTATATCGCTAACCTTAACACTCTGTTCCTCTGCATAAGTTTGCATCCAATCTAACAGTCGACACTGAAGCTCTGCTAATCTCGGACTGGATTCATGCTTTTTCTGGCTGCTGTACTGTACAATCTTCAGCTGCCTCCAGGTATTATTCAAACAGGATTCTAAGATGTTTTTATAGATATCCTTTGCTTTAGACAAATATCCTGTTAACAAAACAACAAAAAAAGTAACTGCAGAGACAAAAGACATTTGTTAATATTTGGATTCCTAATCTACATGTACACTATATATGAGGGTATCTTGCACAAAAAAGCTGAACACATAATGGGTGAACAATAAGGAAGAATACTACTATCACTAAGACTGTGTGTAACTGCCATTTATAAAATTGTTATAACTCCTGTAATATCTATCATATGATTCCAGCTAGAGTTGGAACTTTGTTACATTTAATTGGTCTGCACGGTGAACACTAAAGAAGTTCCACTGTTCAAAGCTTTACTTGGTGTGTGTTTTCACTATTCTGTTCCCTATTATTTTAATTACTGCTCAGCTGTTAATGATGTCTTTTATACAAATGGTGAACAATGCCAGAGTTATTAAAAAATGCACACACACAAAAAAATAGATCTAAGACATTTGTGGGATGAATCACCCATCGCTGCACAAGTTCATAACATTAAGTGAGAACTACACAGGGCCTATACAGAACTCAATTTTCTAGTATCACTTTGACATGCGCACTATCCTGAGGCAGGTGTTGCTGGGATAAGTGCTGATCAACCTAACAGAGAGAAACTTCTCTTTTCTCTCCCCCCTATCCTCCCACTTTATCTACAATAACAACAAAAACAACCTTTTTAAGAACTCATATTTTCATTCTGAATTTTTCTCCCCATTTTTTATTGCTAAGAAATGATTAGGCAAATACAAATTAATTATTTTTCCAACAGTTCAGTTTATGGCAGATGTTTTCCATTTTACGTCATCTTTGAAGAAACACTCCCCATGAAGGGATAATTTGGAATAACTGAAGTTTGAAACTTGACACTTTTTTCTCTCCTATAAACATGGAGGGAGTCTGATCTTAGGGCATCCAAAAACCATTAATTAATTTATTCTGGTAGATCTTTCTGAAAAATCACAGTACAATGGCAACTTGAGGAGCATGGCATTGTGACTGTAGGCATAAAATAAGGTTATAATGAATTTTTCAGATCCAAAATCTGATTAGCATAACAACAGAGAAACACAAAATTGTCATTGTGAGTCCAGTGCTAAGATCTGGATGGTAAATTCAAAACCCCAGCCTTACGATACGTTTGTTAGGCAGTACTTAAGATTTTGTTTCAAATAGCCTTACTTTTAAGTACTTCATTTTCAATGGACCTAAGACTATTTAAGTGGAAACTGTTCCATTTCAGAATGTAAATTGTATGCAGCAAAGAACCTGTCACTTTTGCATGTCCAACAGCTTTATCACAGATATTCGAATCAAAACTTGTTGTTTGGAAAGAAATAAGCACATTATGTATGTAGATCCTCATACCCACCTAATAACACAAACAGTAGAATATTATTCAGGAACTGAGCACATGTAGCACCAAAGTACAGTCATTCATATTTAAAAATGTAACAAAACAAGCAAGCAAAGGGATAAGAAAATGACATGGAAACTATGCTGGAGGTTTACTGGTTGTCAGCTTACACAGTTTACAGACATGAAAGACTGTAGAAACACAAAAAACCATGAAGATTCTTGGTGTCATTGTTCACTATCAAAAACAGACCTAGTGCCGTGTCCAAGCCACATGTTAACAGAAGGTCTCGACATGTCACCAGCAGATGCACCAGAGCAGCATGCCTGAACAGGATGATCTCTTTCTCATCTACTTTACCTTTACAAAGAGAAGACATAGGTGTTGTCCGTACAACATTTCAGAAATTACACAATAAATATGCAAGAAGTTTAAAAGAACTCAACATCTTAGAATTTTCCTTAAATCAGTTAAATAAGTATAATCTTGAACTGACTGTTCAAGAAGGAAAAGGCTTTGACATAGCCTAACTTTCTCATGTTATCTCATCCACAGCAAGCACCACATGAGGAAGCATTTCTGAAATCCGTGTAGGCATGGACGGTGTTTGCTGGAGAATGGGTTAACAGCTCCTAAAGTCTGACATTAAATTCACACTGCCTTATTGGTTTTAGTAAGACAATTTTCAAACAGACACAGAAACCTAAAAATTTCCTATCTTTTCATCCTTTGTACTATTGCCTCATCTGACTAGTCAACAGCACACTTTCGTATACTCAGGAATGTTTTCCTTTCTGCAATTCACTGACATGGATATAGATTTCATTTTCTCCCTCATATATTGGTGAAGCTGATTGCTTTTCCTTTTGAGGTTCCATCAAGTTAAGAGAACTCTGCTGATTATACTTTAATATGGCAATCCTAAAAATCACAGGCTGTCATCTTGCAGTGACCACTAAAATAATTTTTATCTTCTTGCCTCATTTGCAATTTCATTGTCATTGCTTTTATTCTGAGAAAGATACATTAAGCCCAGAAAGCAATAAAATTTGAACAGTTGAAGGTTTTCACAGAGCTTGTGACATAGTATGCAGACTATACAGGCAGTAGACTGCTTGCTGTATTATTCTACAGTTATTAGCAGTAAAATTACAAAAAAAAAAAAAAAAAAAAGCAAAATATTCAAAAGCTTTCTATATCTTCCTCAGCCCGTATTTTTCAGTGAAGTGCGCTGTCCCTCTCATATCTGTAGCATAAAGATCTTCTTTGGTTGTCACAAATTTTTCTGTTTTTTTTTTCTTTTTTCTAGTTCTACAGAGTTTGCACATACCAGAAATGAAGTGAGAAAGAAAGGAAATCAGTAAGATTTTTTTTTCCTTCTGATTTCTAAAGTAGGCTTAGCGTTATTCATTTATTTTCCCTGTAGTCATGTAGATGTGAAAAAAAAGCTACTAAACTACCAAAAGAAACAACAAAAACATATAGACAGCTTTTCACATTAAAATATCTAAAATGAGAAAAAAAACAGTTTGATATAGAAGCAACATTCTTTAATCATATCTAAAATATTTTAAAATGAAATTCAGTTACAATACTTCTTGTGTTACAATTTTAAGTTAATAAATATAGGACTAGAAAAGTAGGAAATGTTATTTTAGAAATAAAACTACACAAGACAAACTGCTGAAACTCTGTTACTTAACAGAGACATTGAGCTGTGTGTGACCAAGTAAACCTATGTTATTACTGCAGATAGAACACAGACTTTTTAAAAACCTACCTTCTTTAAAACGATCACATATCACCTTCTCCTGTTGTCTTAGGAAAAATCTTGTGTGATCAAACTTAACGCTGTCAAAGCTCCAACTTACAGAAGCAAGTACACCCAGATGAGTCAAATCTTTTAAAGCAGAAGTAGCTGCTCCCTTCAGCAGACAATATGACTGGCACTGGCTTTCTGAATAAAAGAAAACACAATGGTAAAGTTTGGCTTCATGTACCAGACTACAATATACAGAACACCTAGAAACACAAACAAAGCTGCAACATTAACAGAAAAACAAGTGTTCACTAAAGAGCCTGCTGGATCATAGAATTAAGCTACTCCTCACAACAGGCAACTGCGTTATTTCATCCATCTCATAAGGTGACCAAAATACATGATAGATAGTTAGGATTTCATGACTCCTACTAAGATTGAACTATTACTCCATTGTCTAATTATTTTCTTCTACTCTGTACTCTTAAGTTTAGACTTAGCTGATTTAATTTCATTTGTTATGATAACTTCAATTTAAACAGCACTTCTCCTTCCCTGGCATTCAACTTCTGACGTCTTTGCCTAGAGAAGCCAAGGAAACCAATCTCTTACTTATTCTTTAATACCCATTATTTTAATATGTTCGTTGTAATTGACTGAGTTGATCTTTTTAAGAAGATGAGAACTCACTGAGTGCTCTCTTCCAAGAATTTACTATTACTTTTCAAAGTATTTTCAGCTGACCTATACAAATCATGTAATTCAGCTAGCTGATGACTGAGCTTTATTTGATCAGAGCATTACTTCTTAACAATTAAGTACTCATTAAACACACTAAAAAAAAATTACTATCAAGTCCAATTTTTCATTCTGTGTGAAAATACGCCAGATGCTACAGAATTTGGATGCTCATTGTATAATTTAGTACAGATATTCCTGCACTGATGTATCATTTTATTCTTAAAGTATAATTCTAGTCATCTATCTTCACTGTTTCACTGTTAAAAAAAAAATAGAAAAAGAAAAAAAAGTGTAAGTGAATCTTTCTAACATCTATTTTGGCTATAGTTTGTTTTTGAGAATGATTCCTTTCCATTACATGCAAGGCCATCACAGAATGGATTGGGTTGGAAGGACTTATAACCCATCCAGTTCCAACTCCATGCTATGAGCATGGCTGCCACTCACCAGATCAGGCTGCCCATGGCCCCACTCAACCTGGCTTTGAATGCCTCCAGGCATGGGACATCCACAGCTTCATTACCCTCTGAGTAAGGAATTTCCTTTAAATATTAAATCTAAATCAAAACCTTTTCAGTTTAGAACTCCTGTCCCTTGTTCTGTCACTGCATATGTTTGCAAATGTCTTTCTTATCAGCACCTTTTAAATACTGGAAGGCCGTAATGAGGTCTTCTCTGAGCCTTCTCTTCTCCAGACAGAAGATCTCAGCACTCTCAGTCTTTCTTCATAGGAGAGAGTCTTCAGGTCTCTGCTCATTTTGTGGTCCCCTTCCAAATTTGCTCTTACAGGTCCATGTCCTTCTTGCCCTGGGGGCTTCAGAGCTAGATGCAGTACTGTAGGTAGGGCTTCACAAGAGCAGAGGAGGACATTTACCTCCCTCAATCTGCTGGTCACGCTTCTTTTGACACAGCCTGGTGTAGTACAGTGTTTCTGGACTGCATATGCACACTACCAGCTCATGTCCAATTTTTCATCCATCAGTACCCAGAAAACCCTCTTTGCAGGGCTGATCTCAAGCCTTTAATCCCTGAATTTGTGACATTATTTAGGATTGCCTCAATTCAGGTGCAGCATCCTGCACTTGGGTTTTCTGAAGCACAATGAAACACTCTCCATTTCAAGGACTGTAATGGAGTTGGACATGCTTTGAATGTGTTTGAGGCTGTAAAATATCCTGGATAAATATCTTTTTAATATTTATCTACCAGGAATGGCTCCTATCTACAACTCCTACTGTATGGTAGAACTGTAGTTCTCAGTGCATGTTCTCTGATGTAATGCCTTAAAAAAATACAGCATCAGGAGTTCACTGAGTAAGGCTCAGTCATGTACTAGATAAACACAAGGCAACCTGCTCTTGTGTGGATGTAGCACGGTTACTTTGTTGAACTGTATTTTATTAAAGACGTTTTCACTGCTAATCCATCCTGCCTCCCATCCTCTCATTTACTCTACGGAAAAATTCACATTTGTAATATGAGAATACTGATTAATCTGAAGAGACTTCATTTCAGCTGATGGGTCAGACATAACTAAAAACCTGCATTTTTTGGTTTGCATGGGATCCGTCTTCGTCTTAAGTCATAATCACATAGCCTGCACTCACACCAATGTACACAAATGCCCATCTCTTTTGAATGTCATCAATCACAAGGATGATAGTAAGTTTAATCATCTCCATATTTATCTAACTGAATTTTTCTAATACAAAATGACAATATGCTGCAATGCTATGCATCTGTAGTGTTATAAAGTACATAAAAAATTAGTATACCTGATGCTTGAATTTTGACTATGACACTGCTGTCATTCTCTTGCTCTTTTTTCTCTGTTCTTGCAGGCTCACAAACAGAACTGTCTTCTTTGTGATCAGATAAATGTAGTTCTTCAGGCTGTAGCACTGAGTCATTGAATTAGGGATAAAAATTTTGATACAAACATAACAAAATCCTCTCAATGTTTCATAAAATTGTTCTGTAAATAACTTTACATGCAAAAAAGCTTTTCAAATTAAATAGCTTGTATGACATACACAATATTTTCTTTTCACAAACATCTCATTTACTACTGAAAAAAGCGTTGAGACAGACCAAGATGTGGCAGTGTCAGGCTGCACTTCCCTGGAAGTGAGGTGCTAACAAGTTCTCAGTCATTGTGAGTGGAGAAGCTTGATAATGAGCAAGTATGAGTAGAAAGGATTAGATAATATAAGCAACCCAGAAAGAACATGGAAACAGCAAAGGGCAGAAGAAAAATTTCTTTTTTGAACAATCACTTACATAAGATAACAATTTCTTCCTATCT